CAGAAAATAGAGCAGTGTTAAGAGATCATCTTGTTCAATCTTCTTCTCTGAGTGAAGATTAAATAGATGTATGGAGTTTCTGATTAAACAGCCTTAAAGGTCTCCAATGACACGGAAAAGTCTAGGGTTTACTTATGCCAGCCATATGAAAATATTTCCTAGAGTCTAACATGAACCTTGCCTAGTCTAATTTAAAGGTATTATTGCTTTTGCTTTGTCAAACATCAGTGTGGAAAATGGGTTGTAGCTTTCACCCCTTGCAACAGCTTTAAAAGATGTATCTGCCTCTGGTATATTCTCTTTCTGGACGCAGAGGTCTTTCCTCTCTGACAATGTTTTCTGGACCCATGATGACTGGCAGTGCTCTCCCATGGAATATTTGCAAGCACAAATCTCTGAAATATGATAAGCTTCAACTTAACTGAGCTTTACAACACTGGCATGCTTTCCATTCCCTCATTTGGATCAGTAACAGAAATATGGAAGATACAGGATGGATCCCGTAAAGCTCTATTCGGTACATTACTTCTCATTTTGACAGGGTACTGCTGAATGACAAGAACTCTGTGGATGCACATATCCTACCACTTTTGTAACTGCCCTAGTACACCGCTTGGTGAGGACTGGTCAGAATAAAAAGGTATAAAAACACTTCCCAGAAGCCTTTGTCCATAACATTCCCATTGCATCTAATAACCAGATAAACGCTCTTCATTTTACTTTTGCACTTCCAGAATGATTACTTGTTATTCTTCATGTCTTGCTAGTGCCATTTTGCTCTGTGCTTTGGTCCTTCTGATTTTATTTCTGGTGTTTATATTACCGTTTTACACTTACCTTCAGTAATTTGACAAAAGTAATTCTTAGTTATCAGTTTATTTCAACTTGCCATCGAGCTCATAATGTAGTCACATGTAATTTTCACTGCACTTTCTTACACTTCTATTGGAGGATACAGGAAAGCAAGGGATCCCAAAAGATGTAAGGGAAGAGAGCACAAGTCAAAGCAAAAGAGACTGACTCAACATCACGGAGAAAGGAAATGGGAAAAGGAATATTCAGCTACAAAGGAGACAAGAATGATAGCTCAAACATCTATATATATATATATATAGAGAGAGAGAGAGAGAGAGAGAGAAAGAGACAGAGATAGATGTTATTTCCACACATCCACGAATTTATTTTATCACTATATTCATTTATTTATTTACAATACTTACATATGAGTGACTTTACTTAAACTGTTGAAGGAATGGGCCTCCAGACTCTGAAGTGTTTCATCTATGGAGATATAGCTAAACACCATCAAACAGGGAAAGAAACAAGTCTCAGGTCATGGCAAACCATCATTACTGCCTGTCATACTATTTTATTTCTCTCATCCAACTGCCATGACATTTCCAGATACACAGACAGCGTCTTAGGAAAGAACTTTTAACAGGATTTTGATTTTGACTGATGCCTGAGATGCACAGTATACTGCAGAATACTGTTAAATCAAAAAACCACAACCGTGCTATTAAGCAACAAAAGCAAACATCCGTATTTCATATTTCAGAATCATATTTCTTTCCTTCTCCCCACTTAAAATCACCTTGGAGTTCTCTAAGGGGATCTAGGCCTCAGGTAAATTGGCATATTTATCTGTACCTAATTAATAAAAAGGAAGGAAAGAAGCAAAGATGGTCCTTGGGCCATCATTGCAAACAACTGTTGCAATTTCTCTAGAGAGAAACATCATCAGAGCAACCTTTGATATTGCTGAGGAAAAAATAACGTGTTCTGACATTAATTTAGAGAGAAACTCTAGCCTTACAGTGAATGTCAAAAGGATGTAAGGAGTAAAGTGGCTCAGAAGCAAAACCAGACACCAGGCTTAAGAAATACTTGCACACAGTTTAGACTGAGTAGTATTTGTACCACTAGTGATCTACTGAAACATGAGAAAACAGTTCTAGAGTCGCTCCACCATCATTAGGAGGATGATAATACTGGAACTCTCTCTTCAAAATATCTCTAGTTTTAAAATTTCTTAATGTTGGAATAACATTTAAAAGATGCATTCTTGTATTTTAATAACTTTTCTAATAATATTTTATATCATTTCTAATCTATAGATCTTTTAAAATAACTTGACTGCTCTCTTTGCATTTATCATTAATATTAAAATATTTAAGTACTTTTGATACTCTTGATCAAAGTTATTTACTCAATATAGTTTTTAATGTTTTGCGTGGTTAAACACACCCTAAGCAACCTGATCATTATTAAATTGAGTAGAATCAATTACAGATGTCAAAATCAAATAAAATGTAATAATAAATAGAAATAATGTATCATATGCCTCATCTCCTTTTTAATTCTATTTTTCCAATGACAGTATTAGAATTAATAATAATAAATAGCAAATTGAAATATGACCGTTTAACTTAGGAGAGCTTTTTATTACAATCAGTGATGGATCAGATTTTTTTTTTTTGTGGAAATTTTAAAGATAAATCTTTCTTTCAATTGATATTAAAAAATATTTAATATGTTTTAAATAATTGGAAAGAATACTTTGTGACCAGCAAATGCACCAAAAGCTTGCAGATGACTAATACCACTAACTTTTCCAAGGGAACTTATGTTCTCTCCAGAATAGAGCTAGAAGCATACTACCTGAACTAATTGTAACTCCTCTAACATGAGATTTAATTTTTATTGGTCACTTTGGGAGATGTATTTAGCAGTGTTTGAAGAGATACTGGAAAAGTAACTAGTTGAGATTGTATGACCAACAGATTCTCTTTCTACAGTAATACTGTTTTTACAAAGCTATTTACCTGTTCCAAGAAGGTGGAAGATAATAAAAGAGGGACACAATAAAGAAAGTATTTCCAGTCTGTACCCTGTGATTGAGTATTGCACAGGTAGATGTTTATGTGAGATGTTTTAATTTTGTTTTCCTGTAAGCAATAAATGTCTATTGCCCAGGAAACTGGAGTTTCAGTCTCAAAAGAAAATTAATTATTACATTTTAACGTACCAAAAGACAGGTTATATCAGTGACACTTTAAGAAAAAGTTGTTCTGTGTAGCAAACAGCTGTATATAAACCAGCTTGATAGAATATTAAATAAAAAATGCATAATAAACAAACACTGCATCCTCCTGCTGGGACTGGGAATGAAGGAGTACTCTTCATGTGCTCCTTGATTAAAATGGATCACCTTATATCAGGCAGGCAAGTGTTTTTTTCTCACATATGAGAAAAGGCAGAAGAGCGGCAGTGGGGATTCTGCCACCCATCCCTTACCCCTACAGCCACCATGTCCCTTGCCACTACACTGCATGTCACACTTCCACTATACTGCCTGGCTTGGGACTAATGAAGTTACAGTTTTGTAACTTTCAGCTGTGGGACAAAAGTGGGGAGGAAACAGTTTATTTTGTGTGTTAACACACTTCTGCTTCATTATCAGATGTATTTGTGTACATTAATTAAACCACATCATCACTGATGACAGGGAAATGAGTAGTTTTACTTGCTTTAGTGTAATCTAGGTAAACACCCAAACCCCACACAGATACATTCAAAATGACTTATGAGACAAGAATGTCAAACATAAATGTGTATTAATGTTGCATAAGCATTTACTTCCAAGTGTTCAGAGTGATTCCAAAAACCTCTGGGCTCTGGTTAATTAACACATAATACAACATGTTAAATGTAAGAAATAAAAATCACAGCAATCAATCAGAACTGGAAGGAGCTATATCAGAAGAAGAGGGAAAGCATCTTTAAATTCCCATTTTGAAGGCATGTTACAATTCAGCACCTCTTCTCCCTACCAGCTGTGTTTAATTTGCAGGATTTCAGAACGCCTTCAACACCCATCGCAAATACAGTCATAGCTTAAACACCAGATGTACAGCTTTAGAGAAAGTCTGTTTGCAGATAACACTTTAATCGCCACTGCCCATTCAGAAAGAGCCTGAACACAGGACTTGAAGCAGATCTGCATATGGCAGTAAATGCAAGGCTTTTACAAATTCATAAATATTACCATTTGAGAATATTAAAATCTGAAGTTGTCTAAGCAATGGATTATGTGTCACTGGAAGCCAAAGAAGAGTTGACATCTTTCTACATTTACTAAAACTCTGTTTTGAACAAAGATTATTGGGTTTATATATGGTACTACAGATCATATTAGGGACATTTCTCCCCCCCACCCCCAATAATAAAATAATACACTATCTGATTAAACTGATATGGTAAATGAGGCCACAGATATTCTAGAACAGTTACTTATACGGATTTTAGAAATTCATTATTTCAATATACCTGGATGAAACTGTAAAATGTAATTGGGCAGACCTTTATGTCCCCCCAAAGTCCTGTTTCATAAATTCTTAAGTATTTGTCCATCTCAGCCATTCAGCCAAAGCTCAGCTCAAGTTGAAACTTGCAAGGAATGTCAGGGTCAACAAGAAGAGTTACAGAGTAGCAGAGAATATTGCATTAGTAATAAAAGGCTGAGCAAGAAAACTGTGAGCCTCTTTCTGAAAGAGGTAGTTACTTTAGTTGACAGTGCACACATCAGACTGGATAAAGTCCTAAGCAAGCTGGCTGGACCTCATAGTTAACCCAACCTTGAGCAGAGGGTGGACTAGAGGGTTTCAGAGGACTCTTCTAAATTACATGACTCTCTGGTTCTAGGGAGTGAACTGGGAGATGGCAGAGAAGTTCCCTACATCAAATAGCCATGCACAGGTTGATAGATTATGGACCAACCCCCAACAAGAAGAAACAAAGATGGGACAACTTTGTCTCAAGATTGCTGACATTGATGAGCAGTGCAGTGCAAGGGTAGCTACTTTCAATGGGACAAATTTTGATGTGAAGCAAATAGGTAGAGGCTGCTGGTTGTGCATATATGTAGGTTGTATCCGTGCATGTGTTTACACACAAAGAAGTGACTCAATGGAGTCTCATATCACACAAATACTAATGTCCATCCCTAGTCTAGAAATGCCCCAGAGTCTCTGATGAAATGAATCACAAATGATGCTGGGAGCAGGAAACAATTTTTTAGCCAGGACCAGCAATAGAATATGTTCATTTGTTATGAATGAAACCATTTCTCATATTTTGCAAGTTTTATGTCCTTATCACATCTACTTCAATACAGGTGTGCTCTTATCCAAAAATACTTACTATGCCTTCCTATAGTTAGTTCAGATTATAAACAATGGGGTTATTACCTGCAGCTCTACAATATAAGTGGTGGGGTAGTAAAGGTGCAAGAATATTTTCATTTCAGAAGATTCTACACAAAGAATTTTGGAGAAGGAAAGTGATTTTAAATAACAGAGCTAAAAGAATAATATCAGAAACAGAACTTACATCCTAGAGATGTTGGGGAGATTGGAAAAAGCATCACTTGGAATTGTTCTTAGATGAGTCTCCATAAACCTCCTATAAAAATAAAAGTTTGGCAGTTAATATCCTTTGGTAAGTACAAATGCATATTAAAAAGTCCCACAGAACTCCACCTCTGCTCCCATACTTCTATTCTTCTCTTTTCCCAGTGTTTCCATCTTTGCCTCATTCCTGTTCCTTCATTATGTGGCTTGTTTACTGGTATGTTCCCTCAATTTAAATTACAACCTTCTGCATCATCTCTCCTAGGAACTCAGCCTTCAGTGGTAATGATGGACCTTCCAAAGCTCCAGAGCATGATCAGCAAACATCTTTTCCTGTTGAAGTAAATGAAGTATTCAGAGTTTAAACATACTTTTAATGATTTCAGGCTCCATAAAGATGCCACATCCTTTATTCTGAGTAAAAAAATTTAGGTATTCCATCCAAAATTGAATTAGAGCAATTGCATGTTACCTTCGCAGAATTCTCCATATACTTTGTAATAAGGACAACATTCTTCCTCCCTAAGCTTCTGATGTGGGGATGGAATGTACATTGCTATTTTTTAGCTTAAGCCCATTTAAAGATGCTCTTCAGGAGAGAAAAAGAATTATGTATTTTACCCGTCTGCAAGACGTTTCAGAAAACCAGGCAATATTTAAGGACGATAGATACTTTTCAACAGCAAAGTTCTTAATGGAATGAATCCTTAGCAAAATGACTCCTCCAAAAAATGGAGGAAATGCTTTGGAAAAATAGCCTATAATGTCATTTAAGCTTATAATTACAACCTCTCATTGCTGGGTGAGGCAATCTTTTGTTTTTCAGTACATCTGGGAATACACTTACATAATTTATAGTCAATGAATAGTCTGAAGAATAACCAAGAACAAATGATAAGCTTTTCCCATAGCTTCTCTTTAAGAATAGTTCAATAGAAAATAAACAAATTAGGACGATATCCTCATTCTGTATTCTGTTTCATGATGTGAAGGATCTGATTATAGTAATTATATTTGGTTTACAGAGACTAAAATATTATCTTAAGATTTATCAGGGTTCTGGAACTCGCATATAAGAAATAAAAATATCTGCAGAAATTATTAAAAATTCCATCTTGAGTAAAAATATAAATTAAGACACTGTACACTACTGTCACCACAGAGAAAGCTCTGTCTGTTTCCCAAGTATACCTCTCCTGCTCCATATACTTGTTACAAGAATGAACAAGAAGAACCTAGACTTCTATTTTTCCAACAGTGGATTGATGTTTCTCCTGACTTCAATCCACCCAGCTCCCACCCCCATCAAACCCTCAGCAACGGAAATACCAGTTGGTTCAGAGGTATACTTGCCTATTCCCCTGCACCTGTGGTACCTTGACACCCATGCCAGTCCTCTTCCATCCCTCCTCCACTTCATGCTACTGCTTCTTTCTATTATCACAGTCTTAGACAAAGTATTTGTGAAAAACAGCTGCTTAGTCCAGCGCAGGCTGCTGATCTTGCTGTTGTGTTTCAACACCTGTCTGTACTTCCAGGCCTTTGAGATAGCTGACACTAGTACTAAACCTATCACTTATGCATAATTCCATGTTCTAGAAAAGCAAGTATTTAAACACCATCTTAAGTCTCTTCTTGACCTCCTGCTCTTATGTCAGATATTCATCCCTCTCCATTTTTGTCAGATAATGAGCAGAGTCAGACCCATCATTCTTGAGCTACATATGGGCTAAGTAAGCTCACATTAATCTTTTATTGACATACTTGGAATTTACACATCCCATCAGAAAAGCCTTGAAATTCTGGATAGTATTTATGAATGAATTATATCGAAGTTGCTGTAGTATGAAATGACTCTGCATTTATAAATTTCTAGACAAGGCTCCTGATATGTCAAGAACAGACACAAGAAATGTAGACTTAAAGGCTATCGTTTGAGTGAATGTCTGGTAAATGTATCGTATGGGCTGTAAGTGGGAGTATGATATTTCTTCCTATCTGCTAAAGCTTAAAGATACACCAACATTCTGCAAATATGACAAAAAAACATACGGGTTACAGGATGTGTTTATAAGCATACTCAAAAGAATGAGAGACAGAAAAGTATAAGTAGAAAGAAATCTTAGGCAGAAGAAGGGAAGAAACAGCCCATTTCAAGATAAAAACTCAGTTGCGAGGTGAAACATATCAAAGTTTGTCAGTAAAGCTAAAAGACTCCAAGTTGATGTAATACACCTACTACATAAACAACTTACCAAACACATGTAGCATGTATAGAATTACGGAACAGTTAGGGCTGGAAAGGACCTTAAGTTCATCTAGTTCCAACCCCTCTGCCATGGGCAGGGACACCTCACACTAAACCATCTGACCCAAGGCTTCGTCCAACCTGGCCTTGAACACTGCCAGGGATGGAGCATTCACAACCTCCCTAGGCAACCCATTCCAGTGCCTCACCACCCTAACAGGAAAGAATTTCCTCCTTATATCTAATCTAAATTTCCCCTCTTTAAGTTTTAACCTGTTACCCCTTGTCCTGTCACTACAGTCCCTAATTGAAGAGTTCATCCCCAGCATTCCTATAGGCCCCCTTCAGATACTGGAAGGCTGCTATGAGGTCTCCACGCAGCCTTCTCTTCTCCAGGCTGAACAGCCCCAACTTTCTCAGCCTGTCTTCATACAGGAGGTGCTCCAGTCCCCTGATCATCCTCGTGGCCCTTCTCTGGACTTGTTCCAACAGTTCCATGTCCTTTTTATGTTGAGGACACCAGAAATGCACACAATACTCCAGGTGAGGTCTCACAAGAGCAGAGTAGAGGGGCAGGATCACTTCCTTCAACCTGCTGGTCACGCTCCTTTTGATGCAGCCTAGGATACGGTTGGCTTTCTGGGCTGCAAGCGCACACTGAAGCTGGCTCATGTTCATTTTCTCATCAACCAACACCCCCAAGTCCTTCTCCGCAGGGCTGCTCTGAATCTCTTCTTTGCACAACCTGTAGCTGTGCCTGGGATTGCTCTGACCCAGATGTAGGACCATGCACTTGTCATGGTTAACCTTCATGAGGTTGGCATCAGCCCACCTCACAAGCGTGTCAATGTCCCTCTGGATGGCATTCCTTCCCTCCAGCGTATCAACCGAACCACACAGCTTGGTGTCATCGGCAAACTTGCTGAGGGCGCACTCAATCCCACTGTCCATGTCAGCAACAAAGATGTTAAACAAGACCGGTCCCAACACAGATCCCTGAGGGACACCACTCGTTACTGGTCTCCTAGTTGTCCTTAGTCTGTTTTTTCTTCGCTACATACCTATAGAATCCCTTGCTGTTATCCTTAACATCCCTAGCCAAGTTTAATTCTAACTGGGCCTTAGCTTTCCTAACCTGGTCCCTAGCTTCCTGGACAACATCCCTGTACTCTTCCCATGCCACCTGTCCTTGCTTCCACCTTTTATAAGCCTCTTTTTTCATCTGAATTTTCCTCAGCAGTTCCTTATCCATCTAAGGAGGTCTCCTGGCCCTCCTGCTGCACTTCCTTCTAGTTGGGATGCAACACTCCTGAGCTTGTAGCAGGTGATCCTTGAGTATCAACCAACAGTCTTGGGCCCCCTGCCCTCTAGGGCTGTATCCCATGGCACCTTACTAAGCAGGTTCCTGAAGAGGCCAAAGTCTGCTCTTTTGAAGTCCAGGGCAGTGAGCTTGCTGCACGCTCTTCTCACTGTCCTGAGGATCTCAAATTCGAGCATCTCATGATCGCTGCATCCAAGGCTGCCCTGGAGCGTCACATTTCCAACGAGCCCTTCCCTGTTGGTGAGCACGAGGTCAGGCATGGCACCTCTCCTTGTCAGCTCCTCTATTACTTGCAGAAGGAAGTTGCCTTCCACACAATTGAGGAACCTCCTGGATTGCTTGTGCCAGGCTGTACCGTCCTTCCAAAAGATGTCAGGGTGGTTGAAGTCCCCCGTGAGAACAAGGGCCTGTGAGTGTGAGGCTGTTCCTATCCGTCTATAGAGTGCTTCATCCGCAGGTTCTTCTTGATCAGGCAGTCTGTAACAGATCCCCACAGTAATAGCTCCCATTGCTGCTTTCCCTTTAACCCTGACCCACAAACTCTCTGCTAACTGATCACCTGTCCCCAGAGTTCCATACTCTCCAGCCTATCCCTAACGTAAAGGGCAACTCCCGCTCCCCGCCTGCCAGGCCTGTCTTTTCTAAAGAGCCTGTAACCTTCCATTCCTACACTCCAGTCATAGGAGCCATCCCACCATGTTTTTTCCCCATGCTATGGGCATTTGTATAGAGGCATCTGAGCCAAGCTCCAAATGAAGCTGGCTCAGTGGCTGGGATATCTCTACATTGCTCCAAGCATTTATTCTAGGTGCTGGCAACTGACTGGGTGTGCTGGGATGGAATGATGCCCCCGTCCCCCAACACATTTAGTTTAAAGCCTCCTTGACCAGTCTGGCAAGCCTCCTACCAATATCAGACCAGCTCCACCAGCCCCCACTAGACCTGGCCTAGAAACATGCGTCCTGTGTTCAAGACACCCAAACCCCTGACTATGACACCACCCTTTTAACCATTTATTAACCTGGCCAATCCTCCTAGCTTTTTTAGGTCCTCCCCTGCACCCTGGAGAATTGACAAAAAGACTATTTGAGCTCCAGAGCCCCTAACCACCTCCCCCAGGGCTCTGTAGTCCTTCTTTATGTTCCCCAGGTTACTACTACCTATATCCCCAGCACCCACATGGATCACCAGGAGTGGGTAATAGTCCGTGGGACTTACTAGAGCAGGCAGCCTCTCTGCAACATCCCTGACCCGTGCCCCTGCTAGGCAGCACACCTCCCTTGAGACGGGGTCTGGCCGGCAGACGAGTGCTTCTGTCCCTTTCAAAGTAGAGTCCCCTACTACTACGACCCGCTGCTTTTTCCTGGCAGCACCAGTGGAGATCTTTACCAGGGCATCAGCCGGCTGTTTCGGGTGCGAGTGCGTTTCCTCATTAGCCCCCTGCAGGACAGCAAAGCGGTTCTGCGTGGGGACAGGGGATTTAGAGGGAAGCGCCTTGCTTTTGGTTGTCCTTTTCCTCCTTTTCTTTCTTTTTTTTTTTTTTTTTGTTACTAGTTCCCAGGTTCCCTGGGTTAACGGCCTCCTTCTTTCCTCCATGAGGTAGAGGTGAAGCTCGAGGCCCCTGCACAGTTTGGGCCTGGAGCAGGCATTCCTGCTTCCTCTCAGCCTCCCTGACATCTCGCAGTCTATTAACAGCATCCCGCAGCTCAGCCCCTGCTGCAGGAGGACCTCCACCAGGGAGCACCGAGTGCAGCCCTGCCCATTGTGCACCCTCCCCTCACCAGACCAGACCAGTGCAGGCACTCTCTACACCCCGAGCTCTGCACTGCAGCCTCCCCTCTCATCGGCTCCCTGTGGGTGCCTACGCTGGCCGCAGCCGGGTCAGCCAGAGGAGCCTCCCAGGCCTGGCCCTCCTCATACGGCGAGTGCCCGCCAGCCCTCTCAAACTCCCTCCACCCACCCAGCTTGCCCGCGCTCCCTGGGTCAGGTTTTCACCCAGCCAGGGCTGGTGCCGCCGTTGCTCCTGGCTCCGCCCCGTGTGAGTCAGCTGCTCGCTCTCGTCAGCTGAGCTGCCGGCTCCCGGGCAGGTCCTGTCGAGGACTTGAGGCTCCCTCGGTGGCTCTCGTCGCTCTGAGTTGAGGCTCCTGGTCGCTGATCTCCCCCTCGCCCCGGTGTTGAAGGCGTCCTCTCTCGAGCTGCTCGCCTCAGCAGAGTATTTGATGTTTGTTAGCTGCCATTCTTTAACTACTTGCTGTGTTAACAGACTGCCTGAGTTCGCTGTCAGTGATTATGCAGGCCATAAACTGGAGTGAATGCAACAGGCCTGGAGCCAGGGCCAAACTTTAAAACTAACCTTTGTGCAGAACCACCCACAAAGCTCCCGTTCCCTCTGAGTTTTACAAACCTGTGGGCTGATGCATTGTTGCTATTTTAAGCTACCTCCTAAATCAGTGTAAAACCTTGAAGAAAAAAATCAGTGCTTCAGTTTCTGTTTGCCAAGTGTGAGTCTGTGGGCAATTACTAGCTAGGGGCCGTGAGTATGTAGAAGGCTGTGGGATGGACAGTAATTCTCAGGAGTGGGAAAAAGAGAAGCTAATAAAATTAGCAATCAGTGAAGTCTATGATGGATCAAAAATGAGAGTAATTTAAATAAAACAGTTACAGTTTAGCCCAGTCTAGCTGCATCTAAAGATCACAAGCTTGCCAACTGTCTTAAAAGTCCAGAATTCAGCCAGCCACTGTATCTTCATGAAGAAAGTAAGCTTTTTCAGAAAAAAAGGAAAAAAAACTTCACTGGGCAAATACACATTATTTTTCCAAGTGAGAAAAAAATGTAGCTATAAGCACGTATTTAATAGGCTCACTTAATATCCTTTTTATATTAAGGCAAATACAACATACATGAAAATGTTCAATACCATTTAATGAAAAAATTGTGCTTGTGCTACCCTGAATACTACCATTTATTTCTACCTTTTTTTTCCTCATTCAGATTAAAAGCTCTATTAAATCCAGAAAAAAACTTCAATCTTCCTTCCATAAAATCTTTCAAAAAGAAGAACCCAAAGTCTGAGGTCATGTTCATTGCAAACATACTATCAATATTTGCAAAGATATAAAAGAACGCAATCACATTTTCGCTAAATGAAATGTTTTTAAAATGGCAAGAGAATGTTTCAGAAAAACATTTCTGGTCTCATAGGGTGACATTTAGTTTGCATTTCTTAGTTTCATAGGTTGGAAAGTTGGTTTGAAGCTTTTAAAACTCTCTTTCTGTTTTGATACTTGCACCAAAGGTTTAGCCTCTATGTTCCTGAAAGACTTTACATTTCATGTATCAAGAAAATGAAACCTGGACTACTGGTAAGAAACTTACTGGACTGCTTGTGCAGAACTTAACATTTTTGCTTTCCCCTGCCCCAAACATCTGTCAACCAGGAATGTAAAAAGTTTCTTGCTCAAAAATCAAGTACTACAGACACTCACCTAGCAACTGTGAGTTGTTACTTTAAAGACACAAGATTGGCGGCTTAGGCCAGGCATAAGATGGTAAAACTAGAATCAGCCCTGTAAACTGAGCAAGTAGCATTAATTGCATTGCAAATAATGATGTTAATTGCCCTTAGTATATTCTGTTGTAACACAGTAATTTTTTCTTATTTAGACTGCACTTTAAAAAATCTATAAATAGTAATCCATTAAAATACACAATTTACAGGTGGCTTAAAACAAGGCATAAGTAATAATAATAGAAATAAAAAACAAGTTCACAAAAATACTCCACTAATAAACAAAGCCATAATTACATCTCAGAAGCCAGGAGTTTCTCACTTCCCCTTGTGCACTTAAGTCAGAATTATAGCATAGCTGATTTTTTTTTTTCATTGAATACTAAATACAATTAGAGACAAGTACTAAGGAGTTACAGAAAAATTCAAGTGAAACTGTTCATAATCCTAGTTCTCTTTCAACTGAACATATGCACAAGAATAGAATCTGGCCGGTGACTTACAGAAGTGATATAGAGAATATAAGGAAGTTAACAAAAAAATTTGGTAGGTATTTCATTTCTTACATGTCACCATTTTCAAACACGTGATATTGATGAATATCAGAGCTACATAGCAACCAGGAACAGAGAAACACCAAGAGATGTAGAGGCTATTTCACTTGACTGTGGCTACTTCATTTCTATTACTGCCTTGTGTTACAGCAAAAAAGTCCAGGGGAAAATGTAGGATTTATACACTCCCTTCTGTTACACGTTTTCATCTGATAACTAGCACTAACAGCATCCATAATGTAGCCAAAATACTATTAGAGTGAGAACTTATAGGTGTAAATGTGAAAATTTAAAGAAGAAAAAATTCTATTGCTCTTTGGCTTGCTTATTAAATCACTTGAAAGCTTTATTTCTCATTGCAGATGAATTCTGACTGAGTGCTGAAGTTCTTACAATAGCATGAAGGCATAAGTAATGTATTATATAATATTTATGGAAAGCACTGTTTTTTTAAAAAGATTTTTACAACTACATTTAGTTACAAGCTTCTCAGGACTTTGGGGTTTGTTGTGGGGTTTTGGAGGGTTTGTTTGCTTTCCAAGCCTGAGATTCTGTTCAAGACAGGGCAGCAGCAGAAGGATGTCTTTCCTATCTGTCACCTGCGAGAGGGTGGTGGGAGGGAACATTCCTTCTTTGAAGAACACTGACCATGACTTCTCCCCTTCCCATTCTCAGTCCTGATGGTTCCACTGTCCCTTCTCATGGACCACTGCTACACCCAGATACTCAGAAATGGTCGGTAACAAGGGTCTTGACCTGCTCAAGCAATAGGCGGAGAAGGAAAACTTTCTCACTCAGCTGCAGTCCCTCTGCAGCAATCCCTGCAGCTACTTCAAGTTCCTAAATAAGGAAGCAAAAAGCATCTACTAGGCCATTCTGGCACTGAGTGGACATTATCTTTTAGCAGGAGCTGGAGGCAAATAGTGAAAAAAACATGTGAAACCAACATTGTCCTCAAACATGAATGGTTTCACATTTTCTACATTGAGAAATACAGAAATATGTCAAAACATATATATAGATATATGATTTTAACAACATCCTCAGCAGTAACTGTGGTATTGCTTCAGTAAGATCTACTAGGGAATACATATTTTACATACTTAGCCTCTTTATTTTAAAAGATTTTTAAAAATCTGCCTACAAAACATAAATAAATGGGGATCATCCAAAGAATTTCAGATTAAAATAACATGATTTATAATTTAAATCGTGGCAACAATAACTACAGGTATTTTAATGAACTACTCTCCACAAAGAAGGGAGGGGAGGACGGGATGGGACGGGACAGGACGGGAAGATGGGGGGGATGATGACACGATGATGTCAATTGGCTATATGTGAAACTAAGTAAGAAATTTTACATACTAATATTTCTGAGAAAATTGTAACAAGCAATGACCTTTCAGCTTTTACAATAACCACAACAGCTGAGGTAATGGCTAGGTAAACAATTATTGACACACTAACTTCTAGGATTTTGTATCCAACTAAACTCAACACAAACTAAGCAAACAAAAATATTACCTTTTTGATTCTGAAATAAATGCATTATAGTCTTTCAGTGGTGCAAAAATAGCAATAAAAAAAAGACATTTCACATAGTGAAGCTTACCAGAAGACGATTACCACCTAGTGTCTAATGCTAGTATTACCAACAAGGTAGAAGCTGGGGAAAGACTCTGACGGCAAAATAACTCTAAAAGTAGAAAACTGCTTCTGACTATCCTAGAAGACTACATAGCTACTTTCCTATAATTAAGTAGCAGTCCGAAAGAATAACATAAATTCAAAACTGGCCCAGCCCTAAGAAATTAAAGACATACTAGATCCTTTCAAAATGAAAGTGTGCAGGTCAGCATTTGGGATGACTCTGTATTAAAAGTAAGTTCTTAGCACTAACATATCCTCTTCCTACAAACTGAGGTGCATACGGACACTGTCAGACTGACAGGCAAGAAATCAGATTGGTTACTTGCTAATTTATAGCAAACATAATACACCAAGCCACAATGTTGGAGCTTATTCTTGTTCAGTTTGTAATCACCCACTGCTTCTTGCTGGAATTTGAGTAAAAAATGAAGACTTTACAGGAAGCACTGGCCCTACTCAATGTTACCTTCTATTTACCAGCAAAACAGTATGTTGCTAATGTTGTTGAACAGATTTCTAAACCAACAGGACTGAAGAAAGGCTGACATTTAAATGCCTACAAATCAGAGGTATTTAATCCTAACAAGCTGAGATGGGCTGTGAAATATTGAACTAAAAACCCAACAAAACAGGAATGAGTGACAGAAGGGGACCAGAGAGACTACTGAAGATCAAAACAATATTTTTTGAATATTGAATACAACTTGGTTTCCATTGCTTATCAGTCATCATGTCAGTAGCATTTCTTTCATGTTTGTAACATTTAAATTTCCTGTCTCATGGCATGGAAAACCAGCAAGTGTTGGGAACTATACAAGTGCAAACAAAAAGTCATAAACATTCTATGATTCCCATTCCCAGTAGAAACAAGTATTACTTCAGTATGCTTTAACTACACACATAACTTGTTCAACAGAAAAGGAGGGGGACTGCAAATAGTTCTTTTGTAGATGCTAAGAAGAGGTTCACTTAAATGAAAATACAACACATTGTCACAAAAGGCACTGGTGATATGGCAGGAGAAACTAATTTTTATCCTTTCTTTGTAGAAATGACTAGTTTTGATCAAGTTAATAGCAAAAAAGTGGTTTACACCAGACTTAAAACCCCAGACGTAAAACCCTCTATTTTTGGGAAGATTTCGACAGTCTTTTAACAGACTGATTCTGTAAGTGTTACACACCACAGAATCTTGAATTGCTACTGCAGTCAGTTTTCATTACTTTGTTTTCTTTTGACATTAAATTTCCAACCCATTACACTTCAGAAGCACACAACAGCCTTCTCTTGAGCTGAGAAACAGAGCTTATTGACATAACCGTAGAAGGGAAGAAAAATATCAAATTTTACAAAGTACTGTAACTACAAAGCAATGTAGAGAGTAGAAAAGTAGTTTGTTTCACTCAAGGCCTCATTCCAACGCCAAGTCAATGGGAAACAATAATGACCAGAATTTTGCAAAATCCAGTGCTACAGACTCAGGTAGAAGTAATGATAGATCCTACAGTAAATTCATTACAATTTAAATTATATGGATAATGAGCTGCTGACTCATGCTAAAATAAGACTAGTTCTCTGTTCATCTGAGGACAGTGAGCGTGATCAGTCTGGATCTAAACAAAGCACCCTAATTTTATGGAAATCTTTTGGGCTTGTTTTGAAATAAAAACAAAAGTACCAAAGTATACAGCAATTATCTCTAGTGTGTGTATAGATATAATATATATATTTCCTTATGTGTATATAATGAAAAACAACCTTTTAAATAGCAATCTTTAAAACACAAGATTAAGTCACACAACACAGTAAATGTAAGCTATTTTTTCTCATGAATAAGGAGATACTTAAACATACAGTTTGAAGAGCCAGTAAAGGTAACACTATAACCTAGCATAGAACCATAGAATCGTTTGGGTTGGAACCAAGGGACCTTTAAAGATCATGTTCACACACCCCACCCCCCCTCTGCCCCCTGCACAATAAGCAGGGACATCTTCAACTACATCAGATTGCTCAGAGCTCCGTCCAACTGAACCTTGAATGTTTCCAGGGATGTGACATCTACCACTTCTCTGGGCAGCCTGTTCTAGTGTTTCAACACCCTCATCATAAAAAAGAAAAATTCTTCCATCAAGTCTAAATCTTACTCATAAGCTTTCAACCTGCTTGTGGCTATTCTTCAGGGACAGCATGTTAACTGTACAATTGTGTGTAATTCAATAAAGACTTAAACTACATCGATGGCACAATATGAAAACTCTTTCAAGCTTATCTGTCAGTCACAGGTAGTAAGATAGACCATAAAGAGATTGTTTCTGCTCTGACATCTTATGCCTGTCACTCCTATTTTTTTCCTTTCTTCTATACATTTCACTGGATACCTAGCTTTATGTGCTTCATATCTTTTGCATTACGACAAAAATTTCTGGACTCCAGACTACCAAAGACTTCAATCTTCTATTTTTCTGTAGAAAAAGTGCAATTTTCTCTTCTGGCTTCGCCTCTTAGCCCCGGTACCTAAGAGGGAGTCCCATGGATGAAAGAGTATTTCATGACTAGATTTCTTTCTGACAAGTACTAGTAAAAATAATGCTTTCCCAAAACAGTGGCCTGCCTGGCAGTACGTACTGCATCTGCTGACCACCTTTCCAAACAGCCCGCTACCTTGCTCCAACTGCACTTGAGGAGCACGTACTCCAAAGATGATAGAGAAGAGCTGTGTTTCTGAAATGAAGCCAATAATCTATAAATAGCTGCCAGGAAAGATCAAATAGGATCATAAAATTTCAGAAAACAGCAATCAGAAGAGGTTCACTTCTTTCAGGGAAAGAGAGTAAGAACACGGTGTAATTGCTGGCTACTATTGTTTCTAATCAGAGGACGGCTAAGTGCCTGTAATTGCTGCCAGATGCTCAGTAGAGGTTAGAAAAGGCAAACTGAATGTTAGGAATTATTTAGACAGAAATATAGGATAAAATAAAGGCAATTGTTTTGCCACTAGTTGTGTATATATAGCAACTGCAAAAGACTGGTTAAAAGTACAGAAGGACTTCCATACAAAAAATTACACAGCAGCCACCAGCCTGTGTTTCTCCAGATCCTCCTTTTTGCCTTACTGGTAGATGTGCATGATGTTTGCCTTTTTCAGACACCATCAACCTCTCTTGATCACCATGATCTTTCAATGATGATAGAGTGGCCTCACAATGACATCAAGCAGGTTCCACATCACTCTTAAGTGCATCCCATCTGGACTCATAGATTTCTCTGTCTGGTATGCTTCTGCTGGTTTTGGCTGGGGTAGTGTTAATTTTCTTCATAGTAGCTGCTATAAGGCTACGTTTTAGGCTTGTGCTGGAAACAGGGTTTATAAACCAGGGGTGTTTTAAGTTGTATTACCCACCAGCCAGCAGAAGAAATTGGGAAGAGACACAGCTGGGACAGCTGACTCCAACTGACCAAAGGGATATTCCACATCATATGGCATCATGGTCAGCATATAAAGAAGGGGGAAGAAAAAGGAAGGTGGGCATGTTCAGAGTTATGGTGCTTTTGCTTCCCAAGTAACTGCTATGTGATGTAGCCCTGCTGTCCTGGAGATGGGTGAACACCTGCCTGCTGATGGTGAGTGCTGAGTGCATTCCTTGTTTTGCTTTGCTTGTGTGCACAGCTTTTGCTTTACCTATTAAACTGTCTTGATCTCAGGCTATGAGT